GCCGGCACAGACGAATGTAACAAAATGCCGCAAATCACAACGGTCGCGTTTGTTTTCACCAGCGTTGAGCAGGATTTATTGGTTGGTGTGCAAACAGTCGTGACTACGTGCAGTTTCGACAATATTTATTCATTCTTTGTGAGGGAATTCATAGATATTATACACACTGCAATGCGCGCACGGGGTGTTTGAATACAATTAAATATGCGGAGCAAAAACTTTTGCTATTTATACTTACTGAATATTTTAAAAAATATTCTAATAATCTAAATACAAAAATTAATTAAAACTATATTTATTCTTATAATATATAAAAAGACAGTAATAGCAGAAAATAGAAGCCATCGTCAATAAACTCGAAGAAGATTATTAACTTTATACTGTACTTTAACCATGCAGAATGGTGTCTATGGAGTTTTGTGGGAATACATACATATAAAGGTTTCCTTCTGACAGCCTATAAGCAACAACTTATATTTCTTACTTCTTTGTGATTTATTTTGCAACACTTGTTCCATAATATCAACCCTACTATCAGACGGGATGTATGCTTGTTTAAAAAGAAAAATATCGGTCGTCAGCAATAATGAAGACAAATATATCTAAAATAATCAATAAAATATAATCACACACACGATATGCTAAGAAATATTTTCAATCACTTCAAAAGCGCTGATTTTTGCATAGAAAGATATTATACAACCAGGGATATGATATAGGGTATAACATACCTTATATTGTACTTGCTGAAAAATCTTCCTGGCACCAATAACCGGTCACGTCGTGTCTTCAAATACTAACTCGCATGAGGATACCGGGTGCCTATGACATTATTAAAACTCAGGCGCATCTCTGCTTGACTGAAGCTAAAAATTACGTGACCGCGTTGCACAATCGAAGTTCCCTCGCTGAAAAATCGCTGGGGCCGAAATTCTGAGCGGATCCCGAACGAATAAAGAAAAAATAACGGCGCCGTCCGCACGGGCCACTTTACCGAGTGTCCCGAATAAATTATGGTGATGAAACTTTTAGTTGAAGTGTTATGCGCCGTACACGGTGCCTCACTCAATACTGATTCAAATGTATTTGAGAATACTGTAAGGCAATCTTTCTAAATTTCCACAGATAATTAGGTTTTAAATAGACTAATGCAGTAGAGAGGAAATGGAAAGCGTGTGAGTGAAAAGAAATATGTAGATGTACGTACGATACCAATATCATTTATAATGTTTACTGTATAAAATTGATAAAAATAAATCAAACCTATTTCTATTATAAGTACTCGTATTACTAATAATATTGATCTATTTTGTTTCTTAAAATATATATAATATTTATTGAAGGGAATGTTCCATGAATCCAAAGGTTACCTGGAAGAGATTGCTTTTAACGCTATGGCTATCTATTGTTTTCTTTGTTTAATCTAATTTTGTAATTATTTGTGTTTATAATAAGTTTACTACTGTAATCTTTTGAAGGAAACAACAAAGAGTATCTATCTATGTAGGCCACTTTACTACAGTACGGAAGAAACGTGTTCTCCCGCATTGAATATTTCAACTTATTTTTGTTCTCAAATATCTCTAGATTACATAGGTACATTGCAGGGTTCTGACACAACACCTTAAAACCCTACCGCTCTACTACAATGCCCATGAAAGAGTATCCACGGAGATTACTTCGACCCACATTTCTCAAATAGTATGAGTATTATGTCGGTACTTTACTTTCTATAGTAAGTACACCTACATACTGATTACATAACACCAACTTTTTACTCTATCATCACCAATCATATAATTACATTCAATAATTCAATTTCTTGATGATTATGGCGCTGTGTCTAAAATTCTGGAAAAAAGTGGTTACTATATATAAATGATCGTTGTATTTACATTAGAGGTGATTTCACTAATATCCTAAATAAAATATAATTCTATTAAAATTCATTGTCAGATAATCACCAGCTAAATTGTGTAACTGGGAAATACACCTAATAGCGATCTATAGAAAAAAACCTATATTCATATTCGAGAATGAACTGTAAATGACTAAAATTATCATGACAAATTTTCTATATAATAAATATGTACTAGGAGTACAGTAGTAGCTCCTGAGATATTTTTGTATTATTATTGTATTAATATCCTACTTTATGCCTTATTTTAAATTACAGCTACGAGATAGAGTACGACTTGGTTTTCATTAAATTATATTATTAAATCTAAAAGAGCACGAAATGCTTCAAATACATATGCAATTAAAAATATTACTTGAATTCAAATTCAATATAGTTTAAACCTAAGAATTCAAGTTATTATTTAATATTTTCTATGCTTAATTTTGAAATGTATCATTAGAAGTATTAGCCACATTTCAAGCAAGCAAAGCAGGAAAAAGTACATTATGTATTAAGTACATAATATACTTCCCTTTATAAACAAGATTATATATTTATCTCCATGCCAAGTCCATGCAAGGTAAGCCGAAAGAATCGTACACAAAAGGCTTCTCTCGAAGGGAATGTTATGCATGCATGTAAGAATGTATCTAGTTTCATCACCCTTTCGGATTTCGGAGATTCTTGAGTTTTTCCTCAAATGACATATCATCTATCTGATCATAGTTCAGTCTACGCCTTTCACAGAACCTACAACTTTTTACTTTCGCTTCCCATATTATTGTATACTGACAACTTTCCATCTGACATCCTTTAATTTTTTTTAAATTCTTATTATTTCTAATGCTGCTTGAGTTCTATAAATTTTGAATCAGAAATTCAAAGCACGAAATAAAGAATAATCAAATAAACTCCTATTAGAATATTTATAAATAGGAAATAGTAGTCGAAAATGCTATTATTCTTTCCACCCACTATTAAAGGAAACGAAAATGAGGTTTCTTTCTGAGTATATTTAATATACTTAATATACTTCTTTTAATATACTTCTTTCTGAGTATATTTAAAACCTTACAATAACCAAACCGTAAACAAATATTTTTCAATAGGTATGAATAATAAAATATTTATACTTTATTAAAATTACAAAGGCAAAAAGTGTATACTTATATACATATAGATTTTTCCTCTGAAAATGAGCCAAGAAAACTAGAAATATATATATATATATATACATACACGAGTCATATTTTTGAATTGGATGTAATATGTAATAATAAAACAAGGTAAGGTAATGAATAAACGGGTTTTAATAAAATTTAATAATTGCGTACGTTTTTTATTTTATTAATTAGCTTAAATTAAAAAATAATGATGATGATGATGAGTGATATCGATAATTTTCCATTTCAGCCCAAGCATATCTTATAATAGGCGATTAATAAACAAAAGAGAGTTCTCTAATACAAGAAAAGGAAAATTGAACTCTACCTCTTACTCCGTCACTGCAGCATAAAGACACTGGTAACAAAACTAATATGGAATCGACACGGAAGGAAACCGTATTAATTGCAGAATTATAAAAATTCCTTAAAAAAATAGCAAATATATCGCACAACGTATCAAAATCACACAAAAAAATACAACAGTAGGTTATCTATTGTCTATCTGTATTCATTTTATTCAATTACGTTCAGCCGTTTAGATTAGGTTCAGGAGCTACTTATCTAACAAATATTCGTACTTTCATGGCTATTAGTATGATAATAGAATATTTAAGGTTATCCTAAGAGACTACAGCATGGGGTTCTTCAAAAGAAGGGTAAAGAGGTTTCTTCAGGGTGTGCAACGCGCGCATAATACCCCTGGTGTTGCTGGCGTTTATAGGCTACGGTAACCGCTTACCATCAGGTGGGCCGTATGCTTGTTGTCCACCTCAGTGGTATAAAAAATATAAAAAAAATTAAGGTCCCGTAAAAATAACAAGTTAAGAAGTTTTGCTATTTTGAAATCACTCAAAAATAAACGTCCTTTATTTTACAGATCATTGAAATAACGAATATCTGAAGTTAAGATTTCAAGGAATAAAATTATGACGTTTAAACGTTCAGGATTATTAAACACTAGGCACCCTCAGAATGGGTCGGAAGCACATTAATGCAAGTGCAACACGAAAAATGCATTAGAGAGCCCTCTCCTCTATTCGTCATTGTCCTGCAACGTCCCATTCAGACAATCGATAGTATAAAGTAAAAAAGACAGATTTCACTCTATATCTGTAGTCGAATCTGTCACTGTATTGATTTATCTATTAATAAAGAGACATACTCATCATTAAATTATTTAGACTGTGGCTTCAAAGTATGTAGTTAGTTATTATTATTTTATTACTAAATATTAAGGTACGATTTATTTTTATCCCAACCTTTATTCCAATCCGGAAAGCTTTTAAGCATGCACGTAGCCAAAATGACAATATGTCATAATTTTACCATTGTACTTTTGTACTCCCAGTTTTATAACTTTTAATTATAATGGCAGAACTTTGTATACCTATGAACGTGAGTACATTATACTACGCCTGTTGTATACTTACTAATATCACATGTTTGTTTTCTGTACTAGAACTATATGCAGAGATATACTATTGGTGAACTGTTTTTTTATTATAATTTATATTTAATTTTTATAGTTAGAAACTTTTTGATCTTCTTAGCAAATAAAAATCCAAATATCTTTAAATACCCTCACGTTTATGATAGTAGTAAAACATATTAAGTGATAAAAGTTCTTAATCGAACTGTATTTTTTGTATATACACGTGTACGTACTTACCCTATATCCTCGCCAATGTACTCATTTGCATAATTCTTTTTGTAAGCAATTTAGCACACTCCTGTTACATTCACTTGTTTATAATAATTTATTCTAAAGTTGACTTCAAACCAATTTAGTTAGAACTACAATTTTTTTTTAGTTATTCGATCTAAACACGCTAATATCTTTACTAATATTGTAAATTTGAATGTAAGTTTGTTTGTTATCTTTCGTATATAAAATATAAGGTCAATAATTAATAATTTTATTGCAGATTACACGTATTTGAGATGGAGAAGGACACAAGCTACTTTTTATTCCAGTCTAAATCCCATTCATCCCAGATGAAGTCACTGTTAGTGACTTAAGTGTTAGACACTAATACCCAATATTTTATAGTCATTGATTATATTTTTTCCTCAAATTGTTTCCTCTTTATAAAAATACAATAAATAACTGTATATTAGGTTTCTTAAGGACATTTATTTCAATTTTATATTTCAGTATTCATAAATTACACATTTATTGTCAAAGTCAACGTAACGTAATAGCACAAGATCTCGAGATAATAATTCCAGTTTTCAGAAAATTGAATTAGATTTATTAATTAAATTAAATAACAGACCATCTCTAATTCAAATTTTCTGATAACAGTGTTGAAAACAATATTGAAAAGGTAGTTACTATTTGAAAGTTTTATCTAAGTAAAGATCTACTTAAAATTATCTTATTTCTAGTCAGTTAAACATTTCAAAGTTATTTTATTAGGTCAAGTCTATGTTCAAACACTATTAAATATCATATTTTATCATTAGTAACTCAGTTTTCCTTTATTAAAATCCATGCACTTAATTTGTAATGTAACACTTTATTTGGCTATTCTGCATTGTACACAAAGCTTTATACATTTGACCACAAATTATTAATATGATGAAATTTACATATTTTTTTACATAAAATATCACATTATCCACTTAAATAGGGTGGCAAATAAAATTAATAACAAAAATTATGAGATCTAGTTGGAATTAAAGCTACACAATAAAAAATCTTTAGAGACAAATTATTATTTTTTGTATCTTTTAAGTGTTGTTTTTATCATATTTCATTCATTCTTATTACATTATTTTAGTACAGGAACTTTGTACGTGGAAACATTAAGTAAATTAGCATAAAGTTGAGTAACAAATGATAAAGATAGTAAAATAGAATTTATATTTATCTATTATTTTTATTTCAGTAACTTCGTATTTTTAATTTATTTAGCAAATAAATTTACTAGATAAGACTTATGGGATGGGACTAAAGATGGGAATTAACGTGATATAAAACATACCTTACTATACATAGTTCATTTGTTTCCCAATTTTTTTAAAATAAATATTAAAATAATTTGTCTAAAGAGAAATTACAGATGTATTTAATTATTACTAATATTATAAACGTGAAAGTAGCCCTCATTATTTATTTTTTAAAGCGCTTCAACGGCTTTACCGATCGTCTCGAAACATACACGTATTATTTGAAATGTAGAAGGACATTTTTTATCCCGATCAATCAGTATATTCTTGTCGCGCGGCTGGTGTCGCGGGTTAAGACTAATATTATATAGTATTAACATATCGTAACACTGTAAGTAACAAAGCATACAACTGCGGGGGGAGATGTTGTGTGAGAAAATACTGGTGAGCATGTGAGGCGGCTGGTCTGGCCCGAGCTGATGGAAGGTTCCGCGCGCGCTGCCAGGCTGCCCCGGAGACCATTGGCTCTTCAGCACCAAACCCGTTCATGTTCAGTTCTATTTCTATATTTAAAAGAAAATATAGAGTTATTAATTTTATTTTATCGTATTTGTAAATAATTAATTAATTGTCAATTTTGTTAAGCACATATTTTTTTTATTTTCTGAAATATAAAATTAGATGTCAACATTTAATTAAATAAATGTGTTTTTATATTTTTGAAATTATAACAATGAATTTGTAATATAGATTTTTATTTACTTTAGGCCATCTAAAATTAACGTTCATAAAAATATTTAAATGACGCATATTTATTTAGAGACTAAATTCATTCAAACTATTTTGAGGTTAAATAAAATAAACGGGTTTATAAAATTACTCATAGAAACAATACTATTTATTGATAAAGATAGCTAATGCCTGTCACCGGCTATTCCATTAATTAATGCAGACAATCACGTTAAAAATATTATTGATTATATTTTTCTTGTACAAATGTATTGTGTCTTTCTCCCCTCAGAGTTAACTTTGTGTGTAAGAAAAAAAATTAAAAGAATAGACAACTTCTAAATAGCGTATCAAGCTAAAACATACACCACATTTTAAGAGAGGCCTTTGAGCCCAACTACGAAAACCTTAACCAATTTGGTGCAGTACTTTTTGGGTCATGGTAAAATGTGATGATGAAATATACAAAAAAAGACAACAAGTATTCTAAAAAACATTTTTTTAAGACAAAAATTTTATTATATTAGAAAAAACCATAAAAATAGCACTTTTAGATAGTGTATCATAATAAACATCACAAATTTGCTGCAGTAATTTTTGTGTAATGCCGAAACAATCATATATACAGACTGATAGACAGACAGACAGACAAAATTCTGATAACCGTTGTTTTAGCTTCTGTTGCTTTTATTAAGTCCCTTCACATATATTTTTTTTAAATATCTTCTATGTACAGATATCGTTTGGTTACAATTTTATTATATTTATAATCATATAACTTGGATTTTTTGTAAATCTTTGACTAATAATAAATATCAAACAATTTAACTCACTGTGCAAGCTAACTTGACTCTCCATCTTGCCCAATGCATTGACAGATGCACAAACATAAGTCCCATAATCACCCGGTGCTAGTGATTTTATTGTTAAATTCATCCATCGCGAATATTCGTTCACAACACTGTCTAATATCCGCAACTTTGGATTCTCCAAAAGTTTGTCACTCACCAGCGCTGCAAAAATAAAATATATTTGTTATAAACAGTTAAATTTCTATAATACTTTTATAGAGTTGCACAAATATACTAAAGAAGTAAATTATAAAAAAAAAGCCAAATGTTATACAATAAGATATTATATTAATATAACAATTCGTATAAAAATTTAACATTACATAGTTTCTTTTAATATTTTTACTATATCATAATAACAACCACCTGACTCTCTCCTTAAAAAGTATATGAGTAATATTAGCTAATTATTTTTTAGATTATTAGGTATATTAAGTCTGAATAGCATAACACATTACTGCTCAAGAATGGCAACACATGGATGGTTTTATGGACGAAACAGTATACTCTGCAAAGTCTATGATACTGTTTATGTCTATAGGCGATGGTTACCACTTTCTATCAGGTGGGCCGTCAGCTTGTTTGCTATTCTAATTTGAATAAAAAGAAACTATTACCACGAGGACCAGGTAACTTGGTATAAAATTTTGTTTAGTTTTTCTTTTCTCTTGCACTGGTGTATTTACCCTTACCTACTTTACCTCTTACTACGTTCTAGTAGAAATAATAACGCATTCCATTCTTACATTATCACCACACGGAAAATACTATTTCTTATATATCCTTACAATTATTCCTTATAAGAACTGCATTATCAACATATTTTATTATATAATAAGAGAAATATTGCCGAATATAGTTACATTTCCCATCTTCCCGATACCAGGAGTTCATAGCTTTGGGTGAAGCTTCGATGTAACATTGTAGCTCCACGTCGCTGCCCAGAGGTGCTCCCACTAGCTGATTCGTAACCTTCACTTGAGGTATAACTATAACAATACGTAATGTATCATTAAAAATTAATGTTTATAATCATTATCACGGATAATGGCTAAAATGATGCAGATGACGATAATCATCATATCAGTCGTTATTTGTCCATTGTTAAACGTAAGCCTTCCCCACAGATTATACATAAGGAACGGGCCTGAATCACCTACATCCAATACGCTATATTATTAGTTTCAATTAGCTATAATTAATACAAACCATGACGATTTCGTTTAATTATAAAATTAATAAAAATGTCAAAATTGTTAATAAACTTACAATGTACTTCCACGTGATAGCGACGACTAACCGTAGGCGGTATTCCATTGCTAGCAATGCAGTAGTACGCCCCCATGTCGGTCCGCTGGACATGAGACAACTCCAAGCTTTCTCCTTTGTAGCTATCTACCACTACAACAAATAATTATAACATTAATTTTATATTCAGAAATTTTATTTCATTGTTAGATAAAGCATTTTCCTCATTATTCATAATGTATAATTCATTACTATTTCTGTTTTATCAAAACCACAGAGTAACCTAGTAAGGATTTAGAAAGAACAATTGATTAGGTTTGGCTTTTATAATACGAAGCCAGATTCTTGCAAATTGTTTTTTTTATTTATTACTTGTAATGATTACCTATTGTGTGTTGATACTGGATAATACAACATATCTAAAAGTGTCTAACCATGCATAATATTATTTTAAATAGAGAGGCACATAAATGTTGAATTTAAAGTATACAAATATAAGATACAAAAACACAATATAAATATATACATATAATACATACATACCAATACATATAAATAATATTTTTATTGATAACTTCCTAATATAAAATATATTTCAACATTTAATGAGTAACTCTAAATAATTACGATACGATCAGTGCACAAACTTTATCTTCGGGGCGTGCTTAGTTCATTTAAATAGAAAGTTTTAAAGAGTAGCTACAGTTTTATAGCTTTTCCAATAGCGTACATTGGGTACATATCTTGTGTAAATATCTATTATAAAATATTAGCTGGGCCGGCTGACGTTAAAAGTCTTAATCGTTTTCTTTTTTGCAAATTAAAATGGCAAGCAAGCTGAGTCACTCAATAGAATATGGCAGCGGTCACCTAAGAGAGAATACATTGTTAATAACGGGAACTAGCGGCCTCATTACTAGCTCTGTCAGGTTTACTGCTAGCACGCAGTCCGTACTTTAATTAATGTATTAATAATAACAATAAAAATAATCAATTTATTTTCTCTTTTTTTTCATCACAGTGAAATACAATAAAACATGTTTATGTTAAAGTAATCAAATTATAACACTCAATGGATTGTTGACAAATTGATCACAATGGGCAAATAAAATGCTATCATTATCATTCACTGGAGCATATACCAATACAGAGCGCAGGCAGTGTTACCATTCCATTTACATCCCATTAAAAAATACAGTGGCAACTATAGACATAAACATTGTTGTGAATATCATATACTCCTAATCCTTACTAATATTATAAAAATGTAAAAGTGCGTTTGTTTGTTTGTTACCTTATAGCGCCGTAGTGGCTTAACTAATTACTATAAAATTTGGTCTACAAGTACTACATGGAATGGAGATTATAGGATACTTTTTATCCCAATCAGCAAATATATTCCGATCACACGGACGAAGTCGTAGGTAAAAGCTAGTAAACTGTAATGCTTTTTTAGATAGGTCTTAGAATCAAGAATCTAACAATCTACTTAACATCTTTTTTTGAAAGAAGATCGAAAGTGATGTTAAAAAAAATCCTACATGCAAATTATATCTGTTCGATTTAGTACGTAAAGTCTAAAAATGGTTTTCCTTTCGTCTTACTTATTTAGTTATCATTGTGAACCCAACAGTCCTATTGCTCACATTTAAACGAGCCCATTAGAATTCAGTAGGGTAAGGGTGGTGCTATCTCCATATTTGGAATTAAAAAAATTGTTAACGATATTTATATAAGAAGAAAGAATTGTTAATAGCAGCGACTAACGACGCCATTTCTTATTAAGGCATTACATTATTTTGTTAATCTCCACGCGGTTCCCCTTGGAAACCATTGTGACTTGTGAATTCATCACGATAAGCCAATTAACGTGACTTCATCTTCACTTATTATGCTTCACTGATATCCCGCTAACATAACCCAGTAGCACAAGGGGATACTATTCTATTTTTATTCATTTAAAAAATCACCAGGGATTGATCGCAAAACAATATACTTAAAATGTATAATATACTAGATTTTAACTATATTTTTTGCGATTATACCGGTAGTTTTTGTATAATTGTTTTCAAGCCAGATCCAAACCTTTTTAGGGTTCCGTACCAAAAAGGTACAAAGGAACCCATATGGTGCGACTTTGTCCATCTGTCCATTCGTCGATCCGTTTGTAACAAAACTATATCTTAGCAACCACTAATGCTATCGATTTGAAATTTTGAATAGTTTTACATATCATTGATCTGTATGTATTACAATTAAAAAAATAAATAAATATCTTTATTTCCTTTGCTAAGGGGTTCAAAAGTGGTATTCGATATTTAAAAATTGACTTACTGAACTTAGTGAGGTGTCGTAAAAAAGAACTTAATTTTTATATTTTAAAACTGATTTTTATTTATTGTAACATACGTTTTTTTTATGACCGAAAATTTAAGAAAAATATCCGTCCCTTCTTTCCTTCAAAGTTACTGAAGTGAAAAACGCAAAATACTTAAAGTTTATAAAAAAAAATATGAACATTACAGGAAAAATAAAACAATATTTCTAATTAGCACCGTTTTTGAAAAATTTACGGAAAACCAATTTGGTCCAATTTTTAACCACAATTAAATCCCAAAATAAGAAATTACGAATTGTAATATCAATAATGATAACTGCTAGGATTATTTATTTCATATTAAAAATACAATAAAGGTCATTTTATATCATGTATATTTTTGCACAGAACCCTCGACATATGAGTTTAACTCACACATTACCGGTTTGTTTTCGGGCACAGTGAAACAACTGTAATAGTGATTTCAAATAGTCATAAAATATATCTGATAAATTTAAATTCATTAACTAAAACTAATAAGTTTAGTTCTTGAATTTATATTCATTATGTAAACAGTCACTACATGAAGATTAACCTTATCAACAATAATTTAGAATAGCAAACAATCTGGCAGCTTACCCGATGAAAAATAATCATCATATATAGTTAGAATGATCAACATATTATATTTTTTTTTTTATTTTATTATCAATAAAAAATACAAAGTTACAGAATTTATGTTACATTAGCATTCAGAAACCACGTAGGTTTATATTAATAAAAATAAAAATAATTAACGCATCAACGTATTTACTATTCCAAATTGCGAAAAAATCAATGCCATTCCAAAAATAAATGAGTTACCATATACGTGTACACATTATTAATATTTATGGCTTGGTTAAAAAATAACTTCTGCGTAACATACGAATCCACTTAAATGTTTTTATTTTTAGTACTCGACCTTTATAAAGAAACAGTATGAATTGTCTACACCGTTAATTTGGCAAATAAACGTTAAAAATATCCAAATACCAGCTTTACTCTTTTTTTCCGTAGACGACTGAATAAATTCAGCATTGATAAAGCCACACAATAAAATTATTGTACCTATTCATTCAAAGCAAATACTTTTATTTAATAACTTCAAACGCGAACGAATCAAATATGTTCTTTTAGCGTAATACAGATTTTCATTTTAGTTTTATTAATTTCTTGAACATGAAATAAATTTTTCGTATTTATTAATTATATAAAATAAATAATTTACTTAATTAATAAATACGAAAAAAATACTTTTTTTTTTTTCGTACATATAACAATAAACTCTGCATATTCTACCGCCTGTACAATGGTTTGTGCTCAGAGAAAGTTTTCAATATGATATGTACAGCCACTTTCTACCATCGTACGGCTCGCCATTGACAGGGTATTCATCCTCAGGTTCTACAGCCTCAATGGTCGCGTACTGCGCGGTTTCAGAGATGTTTCCTCCCACGAACACTCAGGTTGTGGAATGAGCTCCCTGCCGAGGTTTTCCCAAGAGCCTACAGCATGGGGTTCTTCAAAAGGGGGGTAAAGAGGTTTCTTCAGGGTCGGCAACGCACGCGTAATACCTCTGGTATTGCAGGTGTTTATAGGCTACGGTAACCACTCACCATCAGGTGGACCGTATGCTCGTTTGCCACCTCAATGGTATAAAAAAAGAATCGGTTATTTTTTTTATATGAACTTTCATATTCTAAAAATAACCGAATTATTATATGTATGTATTTTTGTTAGATGGTCTCAAAACTAGTCGAGCATTCTTTAGACAAACGACAAAATACATATAAGTCAATTCAATTATTATTACAATTAAAATATAAGGTATACTTATGGCAAAACTTTTAACAAGACTCAAATATGTGGGATTAAATATTTCGATAAATGCAAAACATCTAAGTGGAGTAAACGAATAAATTAGATAGAAAAGTGGTCACTTTAGGTGCATACTGTTTAAGTAATCTGACATTATTTGTATATGGTGTCTTCCTAACTTTATTTAAACAGAATTCGTGCTCGTTCATGCGTGAAAAAAAATATTCCGAAGCTGTTAGGGACGAGATGAAGCGTCGACGTCGAGTGCCGAGTTCTCTCGTTTTACGGAAATATCGTCCATTCTGAAATCGCTTTTGAGTATAAAATCTTTTATTATGCGAACACGGTTCATTTAACGCAGCATTAAGTGAATTTGTCGAACAACGTATTTTAAAAATGAACGGGTAAAGAGGTGTAGAATATGGTTGGGGGGGAAATTGCGAGATGTCGCTGAAAGTATTGTATTTGAATACGCCTTAGTAGAAATCGTCTATAGTATTTTATACTCGAACATTAATACAATAGTAGCAGAGAATAGATTGCCTTAACTCCAAATTAAATCTACGATAAGATGTGCTATAATTATAGAAACATTATAATTAAATTTTATATTATAGTAGAGGATTTTTGATTAAATTCCTATATAATTGGGATTAATTGTTAAATTGCTCATTAACAAAATTGTAGTAATCAGTATAACAACTCTATTTATTTAAAGTGCGGTTTGACGGTTTTTAAAACCTAAAATCATTAATAGATAGCAAAATCTATTTCAACATTTTCATTGTAAAGCAATATTTTTCTATTGCTCTACAATGAAAATACTCTTTCCTCTATAATTTATTCAATATTATTTAACATAAAAAAATATTAGTTGAGAAAGTTATTCTAGATGATTACAATAGAAAAATTATCATTATCAATTACAAATTCTCGAATGTAATATTTGAAACAGCCGATAACTACCAGTCTACTA